GTTTGGGAAGCAGATAGAAACGTAGCATGAAGCATATGTGTACACACACGATACACGTGTATTTTATTTTGAAATCAAAAGTTTCAAAAAGACGACAACGATACAGTTTCAACAATAGAAATTCAAAAGCTTTTATATCAATGTTTTCAGCTGTGTTTGGAGTTCGTTTTTCACAGAATTAATTGTTTTTTGCTCTGACTTCCACTTTTATCAGTGGATTTATCGTGGGATCTCCTTCCTAAACACCTTCCCGACACCCTCCCTCCTCTGTCGGACCAGACCGGACCGGAGCTGAGTGGAGGCTGTATAAACCGGGGCGCAAACGAACAGCTGCGAACTGCGCACCGCAGCGCARCGGAGCGGAGACGCATATAGTATAAATCCTTATATGTCATTCAGATGCCCATATAATGCCTTTAAAATGCATTTCTATTATATAGGACTTTTGGTACCGCTTTACAATAAAGCTCCCCTTATAGATAACTTATAAAGAGTTTATAGATCGGTTATTAATTCATCTGGTAACACTTTATAAATCATCAATAAGTGTTTATTATGCATTAATTAAGGATGAGAAAGAGACAAAACTGTCACGTTTCTTGCCAAATAGTGAGCCAAATTTGTTCATGTACATATTACATCTAAAGGTGCTATATTAAACTTTTCAGACTAGGTTACTACCTTGTAAGCACAATAAGATATTAGAAACACATATTTTACATTTAATATTGTATTACTGCATTATACATATCCACAACTATCAACGGGAGCTTTATTGTAAAATGTAAGACAGTACACTATTAATGAATAATAAACATGTATAAATGTCATAARGGAGCCTTATAGTGTACTGTTTTACACTTTACAATAAGTAATACAGTACAATATTTTCTATAAATATGTGTTTCCAAATCATTATTGTGCTTACAAGGTTGTTTATGCTATTACATAAAATAAGAATAATTCTTGGTTGAAATACAAATGTTGGGCTTTTAAATGGTTTTGTACTTCCACTCTGACACAGAACGCTGCGTGAGGTGTCACTTCACTCCCCTCACAACCTGCAGGTGATGCACTGAACAGGCAGGAGGGACCAGCAGGGAAGAGACTGCGGCTGCTGCGCGAGGAGTTACGCGACAAAAGAAAAGTATAGAGGAAGTTAATGTCATGAAAATTACAACCCTCCAAGGATGCRGGAGAGCAGCGCCCTCCCACAGAGCTAAACGTTTTGCCCAGATACAGAGCTGAATAAATAAAGGGAAGAGACGGAAACTCTAGGTTGCCGCAAATATTCCTCACCGTTGTGACTTTGGGAACAACTGAATGCATTTTTTWAATCGGTATTTACCTTTTACTCGCTGAGAAAAGGACATTGGGCTGAAAAGAAAGCTGCAGGAGAATAAATGATTGTACTCTAACTCCAGGTTTTGCTTCAGCAGCAGCCAGCCGAGTCAGCAATCAGCAGGCAGCACTGCAGCAGCTCTAATGTGATGCAGAGAGCGACGGTGATGAAGTGACTGCGTGCTGGAAGCAAACACTTTCACGGCTTCAGCTGATTTCTGAACACGCAGGCGAGCTGGAGATARAATAGAAAGCAGGAGACTAAATCGATTCTAAGACCCGAAACAACAAAGTTGTGACGTTTTCTCCGTATGAGGTGAATCTGTTCCAGGTTTGCACAATGAGTCACCAGCGCTTATAAATAATCAACAGACTTCTGGAAACTTGTAGCTCAAATAACCTGCGACTCTTTGTGTTCAAGGAAGTGTTGTAATTTAATGGGAGAAACTAAGAACAATGTGATACCAGCTGAGATAAAGGCTTTAATTTATTCTGACTTTTAAATCAGTGTTTATCGCCTGCTGAGGCTGAGGAAGCAGTAATGCTTTTGTTWGTTTCTGTTTGTCTGGTCTGTCAGCAAAACATCTCATGAACTTCTGAAGGATGAGTTTGAATACAAAAAATTTCACTGACATTAACTGAAGACATAATTTAACTTACAGGTCTTATTCTTAAACGACGGCACTAAAACTCAGCAGTTTGTCGGTTTGCTGAGAAACTGCGTGGGCGTCATAACTCGGGTGCGAAGCTGAAGCATCCAAAGACCAGGGAGCCAACGGTGTTGATAAATTTGTTGCTGCTGACTGCACTGATTTATGTGTGTCTGCTCTCRGCTGATAAACACAGCCACATATCTTTCGTCTTCTGGGAGTTCATCACGAGCTGATGTCGCTCCGCCGGTTGACTTTAATCTGTCAAAGGCTTCTGCCTCACCTCCCAGAAACTGTCCGTGGTCTCCTCCTGGCTGGTGTACTCGTCGTAGGCTCCAGACATGGTCGCAGATTTGGCAGAACGGCTTCAGGCTGTGGGGGTCTGCAGCAGGGTGATGCTCCTCATTCACTGTCAGGGAAAACAAGCACAGAGGAACATAAACACAGAGGCTGCTGACGGCATGAAAATCAAAGTGTGTGAGAGAAATTAAAGCTCTGATCTTACAAACAATAATAAT